ACTTCACATGAGTTTTTATGGCAGTAAGAATGATTACTAGGTTTTTCCAAACTGATTTTTGGAAATTTAGAAAAGGAAAAAAGTGTTATTGGTGTCCATCCTCAAAGGTACAAGAGTTTTAAAGATGGGAACAGTTTGCCTATTTGACTAATAGATGTGAGTCCCATGATTTATGCTGAGAGAAAAGAAATTTGTAAAGCTGAAGGACATTCATGCAATTGGCAAACTGGATATATTCCAAGATATACATTAGATTTCATCTAATTTCTCCCTTGCATTAAATCACAAAACCATGACCTTCAGTCACTAGAATAATACTTCAGATAGGAGTTCCACATTTAGTCTTGATGCCAATAGGGAGTTAGAAACTGGATTAGACAACACGGAAAAAAATTATTGGAAAATTAGGCAAATATCCAATAATATATCCTTGAAATCTCTTCATGGAAGCTACATTCAAACCATAACAGAAGAATTCAGAAGACTGAATTCCCCTTAGTGACAGAAAAGAATTAGAAGTGAAGCAGATGTAGACCCAGAACGGAGATTAGAGAGTTAACATTTCCAGGCAGGTAGATCACCTCCTGATAGTCAAGTGCTAGTAGATGTTTGGTACACCACCTTTTTCCTTGTTTGAACTCTTCCAAACCCCTCCGAAGGGCTGATTTATTCCCAGACCTTTTTTTTTTTCTTCCTTCCAATATTCCATCACTTTGCTGAATTCTTCCCTAATACTTCTAGAAAGCACAGAGCCCATTCCCACTTTGAGGGGTTGTTGTGGGAGCCTGCAATGGCTATCAGTAGTAATCTAGAGTTTGTGTTTCAGTGATGGCAAGGTTGAATGTCATCCTGCCTGAAGGCTCATGTTTGGATTAAAACAAACAAATAAACAACATCACCATAACCGTTTATGGTTATCTCAGGCCGTGTATTCTATAAGAAGCCAGGCTGTGCAGGTCCTCCGCACAGAGTTAGTTTTCCTTTTTAGGGAGAATGCTTTCTTTTTTAACTTAGGCACATTGATTCTTCTCCGACACTCTGCTTTGTGGCACAGATTTTGGAGCATCAGGTCTCCAATGTGTAATTCATAGACTAACATGACCAAAATGATGAGGACAAATCTTAACAGACCACGTATTATAAGACATCAACTCTGGTCACAAAGAATTAAGTAAATACTCAACTACACCCACAAGGAATAGGTAGGATTTGTGCAGCCCTTCCCCTTTTTTACCCGCCATAAAATTTATTTCTCTTAGTTTGAGGAAATCAGGTCAACCCAAATTAGGCTCCCAAATCATAACCTCATCAGGTTGTATCAGCTCAGTACTCAAAAAAGTTCACAAGCATCATGTGTTTTATTAAAAAAGTTAAAAATACTGAATCTTCTAATCTTGATATAAAAATCTTACATATATATTCCTATATATATGTATATATGTAAACATTGATCTGTGAGCTGTTCCTGTGGAATGGGAGGCTAGATACTGTGAAGATAGAGATGGTGAAGAAAGGAAACAAAAAAAGAAAGGGTGTTCATGCAGGGCTAGCCTAACGCTGTGCAGAAATGTTAAGCAGCACAAGGCCAGCAGCCCCCAACTGTTTACTCTCCCAGCCTCAAATTTCAACGATCAAAGTCATTAATAGGTTAGATAACAAAGACTGATGACTTCTTTTCTCAAACGCCTTACTTTAAATGCACAAGTTGCTTCAAATGGGTTTGCTATCTCCCTCTTATTAGAATAGCAGAGATCAGTTTATAAGATTAGTGAGTTAATCTGATATCTCAGTGCCCATGGGAATAAAATATAAAATGGATTAATTTCAGGATATGACAGTGATGAATAGTGGGAAATGGAAAGCTAGAATAAGGTGGTGAGGTCTGAGGTTTGTGAGGGCTTCAAGAGGCATATTTTCATACAGAATGCAAGTCTAAAATCTTAGAGGTTCTGATGTGATAAAAGATTTTTCACTCTGCTTACAGTTGGATACACACACACACCCATCCTGTTACCAAGTTGAGAAAGGACATCTATAACTCATCTTCCTGTGACAGTTGTATGTTTATGCAACACTAGGTTATTCCCTCTGGGATGTCAGTTATCTGCCCTGATCCTGGGACAACAGGCTGTCTGATACTTAAAATAAGGAAAACTCTATCTTGGCTGTAGCACTGACCTTTGGCTCTATTTCCTCTTTCCAGTACATCCTCAGATTACTGACTCTCTTCAACTTAGCAGAAGTACCTCTGTGGGTGGCCTATTTCTGACGAGGATCAACTACTTTTTGGCTTCACAATACAATATTCTCATCTGTGTCTAATTCCCTAATAAGGTCGGCAAGTTCAGGGCGAACGAGTGAGTGTTGAAAACCCAGGAAAATGGACTAGGAAAAATAGAGATGTTCTGTCGCCTCTGAGAGTTCTCCCTACACTGAGACAGGCATGTCGGCACTGGCTTATGTAATGTGATTTCAGAGGCACAGAGTTGGTCTCTCTGGTCTACTGAAATACATGAGATGCTCTAGAGAGAAACTAGGGAGAAACTGGAGAGCAGAGGGGGAATGTACGGGAAGTAGAGGCTGAAGGCCACAAAGACAAACCCTGCTTTGAAAGAGTCCTGTTAATCAGACTTGCCTGAAACAGAAAGCAATTACAGTCAGTTTCTTTGAAAGGCCAGCTTGGGCTTTGCCAATAGCATTAAATTCTTAGTGAATTTCCATCTCATTGACCCAGGGGGCCTCAAGCTCTAAGATCAATACTTTAGTAACAAAGCTGGTGCCAGACAGTGCTGGGTAGAAGGCTGAATTCCAACTGAAATGAAATGTAAGGTAGCTTTTTTGATAACTCCTGGTCCTACTATTTTACTCTTTCTGCCATTAAGTGATATATGATGATCCCTCAGCAGCTCTGAGTGTTATTTCATCACCAGGGAACAGACTACATAGCGTCTGAAGTTAGAAGTGTTTGCTTGTCCCAGTGTATCAGCTGGTTGCCAAAATGCTTCTAGTTAATAAATCATGTTGAGAAGGTAATCCTGGAAAGTCATGATATGGCAGCAACAAACCATATTTTCTCCTTTGGGAGCCCCTAAGGGTTTCACCTGTTGTAAGGATACGGTTGATTCAGTAGAAACCTGGCTGCCTTGGACCTCAGCTTTCAATTCTTTGAGATGTTCCAAGAAGAGAGGGAGCAGATCAACTAGCAAAGTTCTCTGGAAACTGGTTTCAAAGTCTTCATTAGGCAATTCTAGATTGGTTTCTTTTTCTTAAATATGTGGTTGCCAACTCTGTGTATTAAGCGTCATGGCAGTACTAGTGGGATTTATAATAAAACACTCTTGGGAATGCCATACAATTCATAGAAGAGACTCAGACTCAGTGGGGTTTTTTTTGTTTGTTTGTTTTATCTTTTTGCTTTTTTTTGGTTTTTGTTTTTTTTAAAATCTTGTGCCCCTGAATGCTAACAGCAGAAGACTACTTACTGCTGCCTATACAATTAGCCACAGGATTTAGTTGAGGGCCTATTACTGCAAAGAGATGGGAGGAAAAAGAACATTCTTTAAACACTTTCTTCATACTCTGTACTATTCTAGGTACTACATGACCTCACTTAATTCTCAACAACTTTAGGAATTATTATCTCTTTTACATAGATAAGAAAATTGTCTCAGAAACATAAAACTCTCTAAAGGTCACAGTCCCTAGAAGAAATTTATATGCAGGTAATGACTCAAAAATCCATGTTCTTTCCACTATAGCTTGTTTCTTTAAAAGTTTCCCTCTCAGGAAAATACCACAAAATCTACTGCCTGGCTTAATATCTTCATCAGAATCTGGAACTAATTTTCTAATGAACCGGCATGAAGTAGGCCAAGCAGCATGCCCACAAGCACAGTTGTGTGTAGTCAGGCCGGGTGAAGAACATGCCAGGAGAGAAATAAAACCCCAGCATGGTCAGAGTTGAGTCTCTCTGGTGAGTCATGGACAGAGGCCCAGGCAAATTTGGTCCCTCTTCTTTTTAGCCAGAATATACTCTGCATCTGCCAGCTATGTTATTGGTGTCTTCTTTGTTTCCAGGAAGTCAGGGATAGATCTGCTTTTGAAAACTTTATTAAAGGAGTAAGTCTTTTAAAAAGGTTAGTGTGGAGGAGTAGAAAGCACTCCCCACTAGGATGCTAGAGATCTAGTTCTACCCAAGGGAATGGGAAACAGTTTCATACCTGGTCTGGTTTGTTGAGCTGAGAACGATTATTAAGTCAGGGTCAGGCTCATCAGGAAAGAGTGCTGGGGATGCGTGGATGCAGGGCAGGGGAGTGGTGGCACATACCATATATTTGCCATGCTTTTTCTAGTCCTTCCTCCTTTCCCCCCACCTATTAACTCGATGACCTCCAGCACTGATTCAGCATCTTAAGGCCTTTGTAGTAAAACGGGGACGGACAATGGCACCTTATTCATCTAAAGGTAGAGCAGCTGGACCAGCTGATCTCTTCAGGTCTGTTTCAGCTGTGAGGTTTAAGATTCCATTTTCCAGCACAAATCTTAGCATGGGCTGGGCTTTAATGGGGTTATTCACTGGTGGCTTTGACAATGGTATGGCTTTTAAAGGTGTAATCGTGATTTTAAAATGATTCTGCTCTAAGCCAAAGAGATGAACAATATACCAATTCTTTTCTTCATATCTGAAGAACACGAAGGAAGTGTGTTAAATGGCTAAATTAACTATAGCCTGGGTCCACTAGCACAGAGAAATTTACAAATATACAGGAATTTAGGGGAGCATTCTAAATATCTATGCAGATTTTGTGTCTTAAAAGTAACATTGTGAGGAAATAAATTAGTTAACCTCATTACAACCTGGTCTGGAGAAGAAACGGAGATGATGTTTCCTCTGTGTGAAATGTTCAATGAAGAACACTTCTCACTGCTTTCAATACCCATGCTCCATGCAATAAATACAAAATAGGCTCAGAATTGCTTATTACAGGTCTATGGCTTACCTGGGATCACAGAGAAATTTGGTTTTCTCTCCTTCTTCTCTCCAGATAAGCCATTCTCGAAAAGAAGGATGTACAAACATACGAGTCATGTCTCTGCGCTTGATTAGGAACATGGAGAGGTTCTCCATTCTCTGCTGAAAATCCTCCCATTCTAGGGTGCCTTCAATGCTACCAGCATTGATGGCCTGGAAGATATGTTCATCAGTCAGTGGGTGCAGGGAGGCCACTGCCACATTCAGGAGAGGCATCACCCGGTCAAAGGAAGACTGGGTTGGGAACTTCATATTGCACTGGAGTAAATAAACCTCAGAGAGTGAAACAGGAACTACTTTGTAGCTAGAGCTCTTTAACACTAGATAGCCTTTCTCTATGAGGTCAAATGTGAGTTTCAGGTATAGATAGGACCCTTGACTGAGGGTCTTGAGATGAGAACTGAGTTTGCCAAATGTAGTATTGTCCATTTTGCCATTAAGTGAAATGTTATTCTGGATCTCTGAGCTGCTGTGTATCCGGTGCAGGATGTAAGCCTGCAGGTCCTGGTCTATGGCTTCATTCTCTTCTAGTCGATCCAAAAAAATCCTATGGAAAGGCAGCAGCTTGGTAATTTCCTAAAACAGATGGAGAGAGAGAGAGAGACAGAAAGACCTTCAGTTTCCCCTAACTCTTGTGATCAATTGTGAGGTCCACAAATTTATTCTAAACTTCTGAGTGGCCAAAGAGGGAAATATGATTAAGTATTAGTATCCACAGATTAAAACAAATTAGTTGCACAGAAGCGACATAATTTTTCCTTATATTGAGACTTGAGATAATTTTTTATGGGTCTTCATAAAGGGTACTTTAGGAGTGATTCAATGGCCAATATTCTACATAACACTCCTAAAATAAATAGAAAATGGAGTGCCACATAACTCTTTTGCTTTAATTTTTATCAGTGTAAACCATGGCATGATGTAAAGTACAATTCAGTAAGAGAAACGTCTAAGGACTCAGAGAACTCCATATAAACACATACCTTTCTAACCTTCCTAATAAGATGACTACATATTAACGAAGGCTTTCTGGAGATGCCTTACACCAAAGGAATACTTCTAATAAGCTTGGTACCTTGGTGCTCTGCTTGGAAATTATACTGGGGAAAGGTTGTAGGGCTTTGTGGTGACTCATGCTCTGGGTTCCATCTTTTCTTATCTGTGTACAGACTTTGGTCCTGTAAGTATCCACTTTCTTGTTCTGCATCAATTTCTTCTCCTACACTGGGTCATACAGACAAATGACACCTCAATTCCTCCCTCCGGCTACTGTCCTATATCTCTGTTCCCATTTTTAGCAAAACTTCACTGGAGAGTTTTCCCTTCTTCCTAACTCTCATTCCTCCTTCCCATTCTGTCTTGCGAGCAGACCTCAACCACATCACTTCACTCAAATGGTTCTTGTCAAGGTTACATGTAATCTTCACCTTGCCAAACTCAATAACCATGTTTCAGGGCTCACCTTGCTCAGCCTCTCAGTAGTGTTTCACAGGGCTGGTCACGCCTTTTGAGTCACTTTCTGCAGCTTGCTTCCGTAGCATGCTCTCCTCATTTTCCTCTTAGCACACCGGCCACTCCTACCAGCCTTTCCTGGCTCCTCTTTCATTGCACCCAGGGCTTGGGTCTCCACTCCTTTCTCCTATTTAGCCACCCTCACTCCCTACAATAGTTCTTTGGTCCCATGGTTCTAAATATCATCTACTTGTGGGTGAGGCCTAACCTTGTGTTTCCGGCTTAGTCCTCTCCTCTTGAGCTCTCATCATATACCTATGTCTACTCAACATTTACACTTGCATGTTGTGTAGACAAACCTAATGTGACCAAATCAGAACTAGTGCATTTCCCCCCCACCACAAAACCTTCCCATGTCAATAAATGACCCCATCACCAAATCACAGGAGGTCTCTGGGATCTTTCTCTTTTCCTCATACCGGCATTTACCCAATTGCTTACTGAAAACCTGTGATTCATTTTTGAATCTTCTCTCTTGCTCACCTCCACACTCAGCTCATCATTAAGTCCTTCTGATTCCCCTTCATAGTCAAAGTATGACCACTTCACAGGGTCCCCACCATTACACCCTCATCTCAGCCACCATCACCTTTCACCTATACTACTGCTCCTGTTCTTGATCCCCTACATTTTATTATCTATGTAGCCAGCAACCAAAGAAATCTTTTAAAAAGGTAAATTAGATCTCATCATTTTGCCAGGCTCCTTGGAGAGGGCCTTCCCATTGCTCTATCTAAAATAACTATCATCCTCATTTGTCCTTACCCTATTTTGTCTTCGTAACACCAAAACTACCTAAAATTTTAATTTTAATTTTTTACTTAGTTTTTGTTTGTATTCCTCACTAGAATAAAAGCTAAAAGGTAGGGACATTGTCTGTATTGTTCACCGCTGTATCTTCAGTTCCTAGAAAATGCCCGCCACACTTGAAGTTAAGAAATACGTGTGGAAATAATGAATGATCACATATGAGGGTTCTTCTTTCGTAAGACCTATGAATGATTTCACTGTCAGAGCCGAATGAAAATAAGAAAATTCTTGGTTGAAGTGAATGAAGTATCTGCGAAGTTATTACAGATGTTGATTTATGAGGACACTGAAATTTTGACTTTGTAGATTAATATATAGAGTACTTTTCCTGGTCTTTGGTATAGCTGAAAGGTTAAAGTCATCTGCTCATCAGGTCATACTTAAAATGTCTTTTGAGATTGCTTTAGTAAAGCTAATTGGTCAGTATGTAGGAATACTCCTAGTCCCTGGGAGAAGGGAAATGGAGGGAGCTAAGACTGTTTTCTGTACACTAGTAATTGTTACAAGTGGTTTGTATCAAAATAGTGGGATAGGTGTATAATATGTGAGATTTTGATGTTCATCAAGAGGCAATGGTTAGGCAAAAAAAAAAAAAAAAAAAAAAAAAAAAGGCTAGAAACTCTGTTCTAAACTAAGTATGAATATGTAAAGAGTGGGAGATACTAACTCAGCTACAAAGAAAATGGCAGAGAAGGTGGAGTCATTTATCCTTAGCCTGCGTGTCTTTACAGGCTCAGATCCATATTCCTAGTCCTTCTTCCAGGCCATTAAATGATCAGTGAGTGAGGAGGGAAGGTAAAAAAGATTAAAAAAAAATCTTATGTTTCAGTGGTAGTAATTTTAATCTAAAGCTTTAAGTCTGCCAATATTTCTTAGAGGAAGGCATACACCTTCATGCTACAGAAAAGTTGTTCAAGTAGAAGCAGAGGGAAGAAGGAGAAAATCTGACTCTAGATGGCAGACTGAACTGGGTTTTGCATGGCATCACACGATAAAAAAAAAAAAAAAGGTAAAGCAAAAGTCAAACAGTAAATTAGAGTGAGGGATTCTATTTGCATTGCTATCCTCAGGACAAAGTAGAAAATAGACTTTCTTTTCATGTTATTTTGAGGGACACTTTATCTAGAGCAATGGGAACAGGAATCTGAGCAAGAGAGTCATATACACAGAATGCTCTCTCTAGGTCATTGTATCTCTTACTCTCAAAATAGACTCTTTGGGAATTATTCTAGTGCTCCAGGACATGACAGGGGTTTAGAAAGACTCATCAGTAAGGGAACAAGGATCTAGAACTTTTTCTGTTTAAGCACTCTCCAAGAGAAATTATTTATGGTCCCAAAACAATCAAACACATACCTGTAAACTGGTCCTAACTGTGACAATTAGTTTGAGCCAAGACGGAAATTTTCCAATCATTTTACTCAGAAATGACACAATTGTATCCCCATAATCCGGTTTGTGAAATTCTGCTTCATTTAATCCATCAATTAAGATGACGAAATCTTCATCTGGGATTTTCCTCTCTGAGACAGAAAGAAACAGATTACTTAATAATTACCAAGCAGGTAACTGAGTTCTTTTTGGGTATTTGATCACGTGTCTGTTTGGGAAAAAAAGATTAGAAAAGATGTCTCCTGTGTTTACTAAATGCTTAGAGTACATAATTTATTATAAAGACAAAGAATAATTCATTTAGTGAATTCATTTTGTTTTTACCAGGGGTAAAAGTTTTGTTCCATATGTAATACATGAAGTCCAGGTATCATCATCATCATTTCCCTCATGTTATTAGTTGTGAAACAGACTGAACTACATTTGTGAAAATTTGAACATTTGTGAAAATTTGAACATGGAAACTCATTTTTCTCTCATACTTGAAAAAGCTGAAAAGAATTTGCTTCCCCTTCTGCCCCCACCTCATCTAATAGCACTGAAGAGAATACAATCACATGTTCCTTTGGGAATTTCCAAAAGAAAAAAAAAAGAAAAAAACCATTTAATGTGAAGTCCAAAGCAGTATATATGACTTCATGTAAATGTGCAGTGGGAAGTAAGGGTGGTAGAACAGAGAAAAGGAATCCCAGCCAGTACACAGATTTTAACCAGGCAGGCTGGATCCCTGGATCCCAAGATCTTATAGAACTAGCTGCTTCCGGGGCACCTGGGTGGCTCAGTCGGTTGAGCGTCTGGCTTCGGCTCAGGTCATGATCTCACGGTTTGTGAGTTTGAGCCCCGCGATGGGCTCTGTGCTGACAGCTCAGAGCCTGGAGCCTGTTTCAGATTCTGTGTCTCCCTCTCTCTCTGCTCCTCCCCTGCTTGTGCTCTGTTTCTCTCTCTCTCAAAAATAAATAAACATTAAAAAAAAAATAAAAACAAAAAAACAAAAAAGAACTAGCAGCTTCCTAGACTATACCTAAGCAGATTCACGAAGACCAGACCCTTGTGTGATCTTCCTAGGAGGGAGGAGTCATGTGGGAAAGACAAATACCTGTCACTTTTGTATTCAGTTCCCTCCTGGACTCTACCCTCTCCTAAACTGACAAAATCAGTTTAGCTTTAGGGCTAGGCTGTAGAAAAAGGCTTGGTGAGTTTTTAGGCTTTCACTCTCACTAAATGCTTAGTAAATCTTGATCTATAATGAACAAATTAGAGATTAGAAAAACCCCAGGTTGGGGCGCCTAGGTGGCTCGGTTGGTTAAGTGTCCAACTCTGGAATGCTGTGTGAGTTCAAGCCCAGCCTTGGGCTCTGCGCTGCTGGTGCAGAGCCTGCTTGGGATTCTCTTTCTCCTTCTCTCTCTGTCTCTCCCCACCATGCGTGCGTGCTCTCTCAAAGTTAATAAACTAAAAAACCCTCAGAAAACCCAGGTGAATGTACACATTAGTACAAATGAATTAGGGGTAATAAGCAAAAGTTACCACATTTGACACTTAAACAACATGGCTTTGAACTGTGAGGGTCTACTTACATTTTTAAAAACAAATGTGGATTTTTCAAAACAAATTTAGTACAGCACTGTAAATTTGTTTTCTCTTCATTATGATTTTCTTTAAAAAAATGTTTATTTATTTTGAGAGACAGCATGAGTGTGGGATGGGCAAAGAGAGAGGGAGAGAGAGAATCCCAAGCAGGCTCCATGCTATCAGCACAGAGCCTGATGTGGGGCTCCATCCTATGAACCATGAGATCATGACCTGAGCCAAAATCAAGAGTTGGGACGCTTAACCAACTGAGTCACCCAGGTGCTCCCCCTTATGATTTTCTTAGCTTTTTTTCCAGTAGCTTACTTTATTGTAAGACTACATTATATAGGGGCGCCTGGGTGGCTCAGTTGGCTGAGCATCTGACTTTGACTTGAGTCATGATCTCGTGGTTTGTGGGTTTGAGCTCCACATTGGGCTTGCTGTTGTCAGCACAGGGCCCACTTCAGATCCTCTGTCCCCTTCTCTCACTGCCCCTCCCCGCTTGCTCTCTCTAAATTAAAAAACAAATTATATAATACATATACCATACAGAATGTGTGTTAATTGTTATCGGTAAGGCTTCGGGTCCACAGTAGGCTATTATCAGTTAAGTTTTTGGGGGAATCACAAGTTATATGCAGATTTTCAACTCTGTGGGGGTCACCACCTCTAACCTCTCGGTTGTTCAAGGATCAAGTGTGGTGAGTAGGACTTGACAGGCTCTGAAGGCAGGAAAGTAGGGGGAAGAAAGAAGTCACTGGATATCTGAAGTGAAAAACTGGTTATACCTGAGGAGGAAAAGCAGGAAGTTGGGGACAAAAGGAAAAGTCTGTGGGTTTCTGTATAAGATTGGCTCTTTTAAAGGAGTCAAGACCAATTGAAAATACATATTTTGGTTCTCTATTTGAAAATATGCAGATTTTTTTTCATGACTAATAAAACTTTATTTTTTCCCCAAAGTACAAGCTTTATATTTATAGGAATTTAATTTCAACATCCTAAGAAATATAATATAAGTCAGTTCTTAAATTATGAAGAGTTTTAACTATTACTTTTATCTGGTGACCTTTTAGGAAATGAACTATGGATTCCAGCTTTATTAACAATGATTATTCATGAAATGGCATCCTAGATGACGTAGTACTGAGAAAAAACATTATTCCTGTAGGGAATCTAAAGAATTAAGGAAGAGAAAAAGGTTGCTTGGAACTAATGGATTGACCCACAAAACTGGGGACTCTTAGCATTCTTGATTTTGTGGACCACGGCACCCTTATGCATAATTTTGTCTTAATGTCCATAGAGGAAATTTCGTATCATACAGCTGCTTGGCAGCTGTAATAGATCTGTTCCCTGTTACTGAGCACCATCACCCTGCTCGACCAGGTGGCGTGCTGGAGCCATCCTGGACTGGCCTGGGACAGCCCACTGCAGTATTTTCAAGAGCTCGTTGTCAAGAAGCTGGTAGCCTGAAATTGGCCGAGGTGGGAATATTTATTTACAGAGTGGAAACCGGCAAATGTTACAAGCCCTCCTTCCCCAGCTGGCTGTTAAAATTTTACCAGCACACCATTGCCTCTACCACTCCAATTACACCTCCTTTAACTTCACCCAGATTTCTTCCTAAGAAAGCCATGATTTTCCAGGGGAGGAAAAGGCTGGTGATAATGCATCTGCTGAGATTTTTCTTTGGGAAAAACATTTCAGAGGCATTCTTAAGCATAAAGATCAAGAATATACTCTCAATTATGATATGGACATTTTAATGAATGAAATAATTCAATTGCTAATAAAATCAAATTTTCATTTGCACAAATTTCTAGATTATGTTATTCATCTCATGAGCAATGTATGATTTCTTTTTTAAAAAAAAGGGGGAAAAAAAGGAAATGTGTGCCCTACTTAAGATAATGATTTGTTCTAAATCGTGGCTATTTTTTTTTCTTTTTTTGAGATTTGCTTCCTTGAAGTGGTTACTTAGAAATTATCTATTAATATAGGGGATATGAAGTGTCAAAAATATTTCATCTGTTAAGAAATAAGGGCATCACGTTTATCTAAGATTACATTTTTTAGGATTCGGAATAAGTGCAAAGGATTTCCAAATGGTACTAACATTGTAAAAACAATGAGAAGTACTCCTAAAAGATTTTTCAGTTTTATAAATTTTTTTTAAAAAAAAAATTTTTTTTTTCAACGTTTATTTATTTTTGGGACAGAGAGAGACAGAGCATGAACGGGGGAGGGGCAGAGAGAGAGGGAGACACAGAATCGGAAACAGGCTCCAGGCTCTGAGCCATCAGCCCAGAGCCCGACGCGGGGCTGGAACTCACGGACCGCGAGATCGTGACCTGGCTGAAGTCGGACGCTTAACCGACTGCGCCACCCAGGCGCCCCTGGTTTTATAAATTTAAGAGATGAGGCTTTCATGATCTGTAGACTTCACCTCTCAAATGCAACCAGCCTTACAAGAATGCTTCTGCATGCTCATTTTCAAACTTCTGTAGGTTATTTTTATTTATTTATTTATTTATTTATTTATTTATTTATTTATTTTAATTTTGTTTATTTATTTTGAGACAGTGCATGTGTGAGGGAGGGGCAGGGAAACAGGGAGAGAGAGAATCCTAAGCAGACTCTGTGTTGCCAGCACAGAGCCCAATGTGGGGGCTCAATCCCACAGACTGCAAGATCATGACTGGAGCCAAAATCAAGAGTCGTATGCCCAACCAAGTGACATCCAGGCACCCCTCTGTAGGTTAAATACATAGTCTATATCATCAGTAGCCATAAAGATTTATAGACAAGTGAAAATTAAAAAAATAACTGGGAACCAACAAAGGATTGCTACTACTTATTTGTTAGTAATAATATTATTTTTTTAAGTTTATTTATTTTGAGGGAGAGAGAGAGAGAGGGCACAAGTGAGAGTGGGGGAGGGACAGAGAGAGGGGGAGAGAGAATCCCAAGCAGGCTCTGTACTGTCAGTGCAGAGCCCGATGCAGGGATGTGGGGCTTGAACTCACAAACTATGAGATCGTGATCTGAACTGGAATCAAGAGTCAGATAATTAACTGACTGAGCCACCCAGGTGCCCCTATTATTATTTTTTTAAAAGTAAGCTCTATGCCCAATGTGGGGCTTGAACTCACCACCTCAAAGATCAAGAGTTGCATGCTCTACTGATTGAGGTAGCCAGGCGCCCTGCCACGTGAGAACATTTAAAGTGCAACTACCATTTACTATCACCATTTATTCATAGAACAAAAATATTTTAATATTAAAAAACAGGAAAGACATAATCTTTACATACACATATATACCAAACTATATTTATATTTACATCCACACAAATTCTAGGCTATTTCTATTTTTTTATTTTGTAGTGGACTAATGGAAACTTCAAATCGACTGGTGCTTAGGAGCCACTCTTCTAGCTGACATGTCCCTGGAAAAGCTTCTTGGAAAAGCTTCTAAGCCCTTTAACCTTCGTTTTTTATTGCCTTGTAAAATACATATTCACCAAGGATTCTCCACTGCCCTCACTTACATGTACACTTAA